GAGCTTCATCATTCTTGAGAACCCTTCTAGCCTTGGACATTCTGTGATTCTGTGAATGTATCACCTGTATCAGGTGGCTTTCCTGAGGTGAAACAACCTATCCTCCAGAAATATTAACTGCTCTCCACCAAGTATGTAAGAAATTGAAATGGTATAAAATGACTTTTATCAAGTTCATGGCAAAACTAGAGGGAAGAGCATTCCCTTCTCCATCACACTTCTTTCAGGTGATGACCAGATTTTGCAAGTTTGCTGTCAGCTGTCTTTGTTTTAAAAGATGCAATACTGTTTTCACATAATAGAGTATCCTGGCATGGGTATTCAAGAATCTTGCTGTGGCAGCCCAAGGGTAGTGGGAAATCTGTTTGCCAGAAGGATTTCCTTACATGTTCCTGCTCAGAAAAGATAATAGCATATCTGAGCAAAGAGGACATGAATGTTGGAAGAAATCTGTGGAGGCCAACCAGTAGCTGCCACTGGGTCATAGTCTGACCTCCCACTTTCTCCTCTGCATTAAAAGAAAACATCAACAATTTAAGGTTTTATTAAGTGACTTTTTTAGAATGAAGCACGTCCTACCTGCTGGCATTTATTTTTTCTCCACTGATTGTGATCACTAAGGCAGATAAGACACCATGCTGCTTATCAGGTTGGTGCCCACATGACAGCAACAACCACATATCCTGTAACAAATTACAGAATCACAGGAATGCTGAGGTGAGATGAGACCTCTGGAGGTCATCTTGTCCAACTCCTCTATTCAAACCACAGCTAGAGCAAGTTGCTCAGGACCACGTCCAGCTGAATATCTCACAGGATGGAACTGTGCATGCCTGAGCAACCTGTTCCATTGCTTAATCACTCTCATGATGATTTTTTCCTTATGCTTAAGTGGAATTTCCTGTATAAATGAATTATCCAATCCAGTACAGGTCAGACAACAACAGACTCTAAGGTCCTGTGTTTTAACTGGTTGCAATGAAGTCAATGAGCCCTTTAAAATCTTTTAATTCTTACTGCAGTGATAGTTCCTCTTCTTCATCCCAGGTCTATAACTTTCGGCCTGTCTTGTTCTATTACTGTACAAAGCCTAGGTCCCAGAAGTGGTGACTGTAGAGTAAAAGAATTCCTAAGAGTTAGACAAGGATCATGCTCAGGAAGGCACGTTTCAGCCTTGGACAACAAGATCCCATATGCTGGAATTCATACTGTCCTCTCTGTGAGATCATTCCCACCTCATACACATCCTGAACAGAGATTCAACATCAGATTATTTTTCCATAATTTCCTTAATCAGATCCATTATTCCATCTATTTCTCTGGGGATCACATGCTTCTAAAATAAGAATAAGCTGCTGCATCTGCTTTTAGCCATGGTGCTACTGACAAATCTTATACTCCAATATCTCATGCCACTTCACCAGTTTTCTGTTTGACATCCTGTCTCCTTTCCCAGCATGGAAATCAATGACAGAAAATGCACGGAAAACACAGTTTCATAGAATTATAATAGCTCTTGATCAGGTGGTTGTTATGTCCAAGCAGAAGAACAGGATTGCTTCTCCTTGGGATAGCAAAATAAAACCCATAGTTTTCATGCCAGCAGTACGATGCAGACTCCAGAAAAGCCAGAAATTCTGCACTTTGAGTCTCAACAGCAGACCTTGGCATGCTAACAGGATCAGGAGCTGAACCATTCATGTTAAGTGAAGTTATTTTTATGTATGCCTCCAAGAGAGGCAAAGCTGAGGAGCAAACATTGTGAATTTATACAATCATTAATTTAGAGAAATTAATCCTGCAAGATATCAGGCAGAAGATCTATTTTACAGGAAAACCACTGCTAAAGAGCTGATGATGCCAGAAATACTACATGACAGAACCTTTATTCTATATAAAATCACACAACACAAGAGAATTCAATATGATTTAGCTTGTGCAATGCATAGAAATGCAGTAACTCAGCTGGCTCTGCTCTGTTGACTGCTGAAGTGGTGTCATTGGCACAATCCATTTTCTGCACACGTAACACCATGGTGATGTGTGTGCATGGCACCAGGGAAGGAAATGACCTGGGCAAAAATCATACAAATATTTCCTATGGTGGGGTTTTACAGGCAGATTGTTCAAAGTCAAGGTCAGAAGGGGTTTCATTTCTGATTTTCTTCCTTCTGTCCATTCTTTCCCTCTTCTTTTCCTCCTCCTCCCCTTCTCCTTCTTCCTACTTGTATTAATACACACTGAAAGATCTCGCTAACAGGATAAATCAGAAAAGAGTGGGAATGAAATGTACAGGCAGTTAAAACATACTCCAAGTACTGTCATTTAATAGATTATAGGCTTTCTATACACTTTCCATGTGAGCTAAAGAAGTGTTTCCTTTAGAAGTGTGCAGAGCAAAATTGGGTTTATTGACAAATGGCGAGCAATAGACATAGACTGAGATTTGTGTTTCTGCCTCACAATACGAATCATATAGACTCAGTTTTGTTGCTTTACATGCAGTTGTGCTTCATGCAACATTGGAAAGATGAGACACTCTTACTGCAGGTTTTCACAGCACTAAACAGGATGGGACTCAGTTTGCAAGTGCTGTTATAGTGCAAACATTAAATAAAAATTAATGGGAGGATAATGGGATATAAGCATATTCACAGTAAGTAAACAAATAAGTAGACAAATAAATGAATGCCATGTGCCTTAATTTAAGGAAATCTATCAGATGAGTTTAATAAGATTGTCAGTGTGACTCTGTGTGCCTTGCTTGTTTTTTCACCCTGTAATCATGCATCCATTCTCTGAGTAGCACAAGATCCAGCACTGGTATCCCAGTACCTCTCAAAGCACTGGTCATACAGTTTAACAAATCTCAGAAAGCCTCGGAAGCATTTCACAGACTTGAACTCTGATAGATACTGATCCTGCATTCCTTTGCTATGTGGAATTTAGAAGATGTGGTTTTTCTTCTTGCTCCATTGAGCCAGGCACGTGTGACAACCACAGAAGAGTCAGCACAGTGCCTGTGAGACTTTTCTATTTTGTCCTCAGTTGCTGGTTAAAGAGCTGATGATTGAGTGACACGGTTGGGTCAGGATGCATCTTATGGGTGAAGTGGTGCTCAGCTCACCATCAGTGCTAGCTCTTGATAGCCCACTGCATGGCTGCTTTTTAGTAATAAGCACTCACCTGCTCCAGAGATTCTCTCCTGTTGTAGCAGCCTGAGAAGCTAAGAGCATTCTAGCACAGCTATGAAGACCCCAGACAAATGTTGGCCACCCTGAAGTCCTGTCAGACAGTGAGAAAGATCTCTCAATCCTCTTCAAAGCCATCAGGTGATTTACTTGAGAGCTCAAATTCAGACTTACAAATAACAGACTGCAGAAGCAAGAGAGATGAGGAGTTTCAGGCTTTGTCCAGCCAATGCTCATCAGCAGACTGTGCAAATAAAAAATCCTGCTCCTTTACTTCCTAAACAAATGCTGTGCTTGAGTAGAAGTGACTTTATTCCACTTCTAGCCCTGCTATTGGTTACCAGCTGCAGATGGCGTGAAAGACTTTGTGTGTAATCTACCAACAGGTCATTAAGTGGAGATGATGATGCAGTCTGTAAGCCTGGGTTCTCATGGGGGAACGGAATCCTTCACAAGGATGATCCCCATAGAGAGACAGTGTCCCACACTGTCCATCACTGAGACAGTGCTTGAGGTAGTAGTAAGGAAATCACCGTTTAGATCCTTTCCTGAGCAGAGGAAGGAAGAAAATTAATGATCAGTCTGGAATACAGCATCTACCAGATAATAATTACTGTCCTGTGCAGGATTTAGAAGAATTACAGAATATAATCCTCTACAAGAGAAGTTGAGAAGTCAGCAGATCCAGTGTCTTTCTCAGTGAATATGTATCATGCTAAATTCTTTCCCAGAAGGTGTAAAACTTTCCAATAAATGAGATATCCCTACCATTATGCAATCTCTCCCAACTCTTCCCTATTTTGTGAAATCTGATTAAAGCATAACAGAGCTTCTTCATAGAACCACAGAATTATAGAATCGTTTGAGTTGGAAAGGACACTTAAAGGCCATCTGTCCCATGCCCTGCACTGAACAGGGACACCCAGAGCTCCATCAGTGCTCAGAGCCCATCCAGCCTGACCTTGGCTGTCTGCAGGGATGAGGCACCATCGCCTCTCTGGGCAACCTGTGCCAGTGCTTCACTACCTTTGCTGTAAAAAATGTTTTCCTTACATCCAATCTGTAAGTTTTCAATGGGAGAGAACTGCAAGAGAGCCTTCTAGCAGCCTCTGATAGACCCTGAAGTTCTCTACTCTTCGTAATGTTAACATGTTTATTTTAAGGGACATCTAAAAGCCAATTGATTGCAGATCCAGGAGGACAAAAATAGGTCTCATCTGTCACCTGATGGTGATCCTCTTTCTCTTATCTTTCCAGATTGACAGCATGCAGGCTTTGCTGCATTGCCCCAACGTGCTGGTGTGTGTCGGCCGTGAGCCATTTAAACCTGTATCAATGGAGAATTTGAGGAAACACTCGGTGGAGAAGCTGCCTGACCTGGCTCCTCGTTCCAACGGCAACAATGTCAATGAAAACAATGAAAGTAAGAAAAACTCTGGGTCACGTTGCACAGTCATCTCCAGGCCTGTGTCCTACAACTTAGAGATTATAGGCACCTATTGTACTACCCCAATGTGTAGATTTCATGTGTGCTGCTTCACTTGCAAAATGCACTTCCCTCTCTGCCTCCCAGGCATTTCCATCCTCTCCTTCTTTTTCTCTGGTTTCCTTCTAGGATTTCCTCCCTACACCCTCTAGTCTTTCTTTTACATGCTCCCCATGTCTGGCTGACTTCCCTTCCTCTTTCATATCTCTGTGTCTCCTTTTCCTTCCAAAACTCCCTCCTTTCCTGTGTCTGCCTCTGAGACTCCCCAAACCCTTGAGATTTCCCACGAATCTTCTGTCTCCTTGTCTGTCGCTCATATAATGCTAGCACTTCTGCACCAGCACCAGAGAATGCTCTGTATTTGTTTGCAGAAGACTCAGTTTCTCAGACTCTGTTAAACTTTTTCTAAATAACAGACAACTTTTCAGGGTGTGAAAGTCATTTCAAACAATGGAGCTACCTGCTGTTAAAGGAGCTACTTTTGGAAATAAAACATGCTTTTATAGAAAGGTCATGTTCAAGGAGTAGTATGCTGTGGGTTATTCAGAACCTCATCATGGATTCCTTGAGGTCACAGGTAATCATCCCAGCTACCCTTAGTAGCCAATGGGAAGGAGCTTCCCATTTCTACAGGGTAATATCTGTATTAGGGATTTGGTTTTGGATGAAATGAAGCGTGCTCTGAGGTGGCCATTCCTCTCTCCGTTGTCAACAAAAGGAACCAGGAAATATTCACTTAAGTGTTGACAACTAGCTGTTGAAACTTCTACACTCACACTCTGAGATAGAAAAAAAAATTGTAGAGAGCAAAGAAAATAAACAGAAATTCTTTGTCCATCAAGAGATTGAACAGACATGCCAGTTCAAATGCATGAAGATGGTTAGATAGGAGCTATTTCACATCTCATGTGTTTTGGTTGGTGTGCTCCTTTTGGCATACAGCCTTCCTAAAATGCCCTCCATTCAGCTGCATATTGACATGCCCATGGAGCCATGTAGTTGTTTATGTATAAACAAGTAAACTCTCAACAAGATAATGTATGTACAAGAAATGCTATAGATACATATTTTTCAAGACATCATGACTGCAATATGCTCTGCCTGTATTGAAGGGTCCAGCACCTCAAGAAATCTGTGCAGATCACTACAGTGGGTCATAAAGGTGTTTGGATTAAAATTCTTAAAATTTCCTTACTACTGTTGTTTCTTTCCATGATTACTCTGTTTCTCTTTCTAACTCCACCGATTTATACTTTCTTTTCCATTTGTTCTTCATATTTTAATAAATATTATAATTATTCATAGTGTCACATCCCTGTGTGTATTGAGCACTGCCCTGATCTACATGGCCCTACCTTGTTTCCAAGCATACGAACGGAAAAGTAGATAATTTAGAATAAATGCTTAACACTTCACTACTAGCAAAGGAAAAGGTCATTCCTCTATTTAAGTTTTCTCTCTCAAATAATGATGTAAACATTCACAAGGAGTATTTGTAATGTAATTCTGTGATAAATAGGGAAGTTCTGATACTAACTTGCTCTATATGTCCTTTTTCTTTTCTTTCTGGCAGGTTTTATACTATGCAGGGGAAAAAAAAAAAGCTTATATTCTAATTTAGATTCAAAAAATGAAGTTTAAGTATAGAAAGTATAGAAACTTTTAATATATATGATTCAAACAAACCATTCTGCTCTATTTTAACTCAACATTTACAGTCATCACTTAGTCAAAGCTAAATTTTCAAGCTGTGTGAACTGGCATATCTTGAATGGACTATTATCAACATTTGCTAATTTGAAGATTTGATCCATATATTTTTTTGTCAGCCTTGTATAGTTAACATTTCTCTCCATCTTTCTTTTCTTGACTTCTTTCAAACTGCAGCGAACTTTGGATTGAAAGCCAAAAAAAGCATTATCCATCCACGGTCAGCATCAAGCAACAGATCAATGAGATTTTCCTTATCATCAGAGAAGTCGTATCCAAATGGTCTTGCTGCCTCGCCAGATAATGGCGCACCTTTCTCAAACAATTGTTCACATCCAAAACCTGGAGACCTGGTCCATTCCTTGGTCAATGACGACATAGAGAAGCGAGTGCATGTGAACAAGGATGGCAGCCTGTCTGTTGAGATGAAAGTCCGCTTCCGCTTGCTAAATGATGAGACTTTGCAATGGTCCACCCAAATCAAAAAATCAAATTTGATGAACCGGATGCCTTGTGAAGAATCAGGTCTAGAGGAGGACAGTGGAGCAGACCCCATACAGAAAATGAACCCAGAAGCCAGCTCAGAGGCAGATGATTCCTTATACCCATGTGATGTTGATTCTTACATGTCTAAACTTGAGGAATCTGAGTGCGATGATGCTCACTGTCACAGCTGTGGCAAGAAACACCAGGACTATGATATCTGGAAAAACCCCATGCACACTTCCCAGAGAGAAGAGCCCAGTGTACGAAGCACATGGCACACACGGTCATCGTGCTCCAGCACATCTTCCAGGAGGAGAGTAATCCACAAAAAAAAGGCTTCTGTGGATAGTCTCCGCACCACATCCAGTGAGGAATTCTCTGAGCACATTGTGCAAGAGTCCTCATCCTACTCAGAGACTATAGAGAACAGGGTGGCATATCGATCTATTAAAAAGTGTACTTGTAGAAGTGATTTGTCTACAGGTGCTTCCAATGGAGAAGATCAGCAAGAATACACCCGGACGAGCACGAGCAATAGTCAGAGGCCTTCTTCCTTGGGATTAATGTCACATTCAAGTTGTGAAAATAACCTGGATACTCAAGAGGCCCCTGAAGACTATGAGACCAGTAAAACCAATTCACAAAAGGAAGATGAAAATTGTTTTGAAATTTCCTCTGTGAAGTGCTTAAAGGATGATGCAGAGGAGGTTGAAAGCAGCAGAGTTGGAAGCGTCATATCAAGGTTGTCAGTGCAGTCCAGACAGAGCAAGAATATATGTGAGGAAACAAGTAGTGTGGGTAGGACCATGTCCTCCTCCAGCCTTCAGAAAGCAAATGAAGGAGATAACACTATGTGTTCCACTCCTGCCAACAGTGTGCACAGCAGGTCTAGTAACCTTAGCACACCTAGAACAAAGAGTGAACACGATGACCACTCAGAAAACAATGCAGTAGTCTCCTCCTTCTCCAGCAAGTCCTGCCCTAAGAAAGAGGCTGAAGAGATTGAAGAAGAAGAAAATGAAATAAATGAAATCAGCTCAGTTTCAACAAAAACAAAGCCCAACCAATCAGTTAAAGATGAGAGCAGTGAAGGTGAGCAGTGCTCTGCACCAGGAACACCCCACTCCATAGCTAGTGTCAGGAATAGCAGGAGAAGTGATAGTGATGAGATTGTTCCATGCAATGCCTCTTGCTCTTCCAGAGGATCCAAAAAGAGTAAACACAGTCATCTTCATTTGGATGCACAGTCTGAAATGTCTGTGTCTTCACTTGAATCCACTCAGAATAAAAAGAAGAATTCTCTACATGCAGATGATCTAAGATCATGCAGCAGAGCATCTAACTACTCCAAAAGCTCATGTGAAATCAAGAAAAAATCTATTGGAGACCCCATGTCTCATAACTCAGGATCTTTTCAGTCAAACATTTCATCTACAAGTGAAGCAGAGGCAATTGCTGTTATTACCGAGGAGAAAAGCTCAAAAAGTACCACCAATGGCTACAGTGCTTCCTCAAAAGGCTCAAAGAGAGGAAGCCATAGAGAAGAAAACAGCAAGCCATCATCTCTCTGCTCAAGAGTTTCTAGCCCTAATAGAAAAGGTGGAGAGGGTCATTCCAAGATGAATTCAGAGGTCCATTCTTCAAGACATGGAAGTGTAAGTGAGAGTGTGTGTTCAAAAGGTGACCACTTAACTGAGACTGGGATTAGGAATGGAGATCCTGAAAGTGTCAGTTCAAGAGTCTCTTCAAAATCAGAAGTGGAAGATAAACACTTGTTGACACAGGTATCCCAGGAAAGTGATGGTAGGTGTTCACAATCAAACATATCTCAGTCTTCAAAATCAAGGCAGATTAAAAGTAGAAATCTTCATGTGGCGATGTCAAACTCCAGTCGAGCATCACCATCAGAGGCCATGTCAATATGCAGCAAGCATTGCCCTGCCCCACCAAAAGGGAAACCAAACAGCAAAAAATCACGGTCAGCCATTTTGAAGAATTCCTCCATTAGCAGCATAGGTACTGAGTCAGTGTTCACTACAGGAAAACAGCAAAAAGAAGTTGTAGATTCCTCCAGACCAACCTCCTTTGGATCTAAATCAGTTGTAACCGAGGCAAATGACCAGAAGAATACAAAGCTCAACTGTTCTTGCGAAGGAAAAGTGGAGGAGGTGTTAGAAGACACAGGAGTGCAGGAGGAATGGAGTAATTTAATGCCATCTAGTTTACCAAATACATCTCCAGAAGAAGTTGTGCAAGAATGGCTAAGTAAAATCCCTTCGGAAACACTGCTTCTGAAATATGAAATGGAGGATAATGAAGAAGAGGAATGTATAGAAGCAACCACTGAGATGTCGTGCTGTACAAATGCCGAGGAAATCCCAGAGGATGAAAAAGCTGAGAAGAAGAATGCTGAGGAAACTGAAAATGAAACAGTGGATGAAGTGGAGAAAGAGACAGAAGAAGTCATTGCTGTAAATGAAGAGGCTGAAGAGTATGCAAATCAGGAACAAATCCCTGAAGTCTTGTCCGAAGCTGCCAAGGCTGACCAAGCAGAATGCAGTCAGTCAGTTACGTCTAGCCAAAATAACAACAAAAAAGACTTGCCGACCTCTGTCCAGACTTCCGTCCAGATTATGAAGGCCTTGCTCAGTTCAAAAAATGAAGCAAAATTTGACCGATCAAACAGCTTGCCTGAAGTGTCTCCCACAATGGGGAGAAGACTGAGTAATTCTGCCACTGTCCTGATTACTTGTCTTGCCAGTCTGCAGCTCCTTGATGAAGAGTCAGAAGATCCATCAGATAAATCAAAATGTTTGAATAAACCAAGATATATGGAACTGTTAAATATTTTCCAAGCCCTATGGTTTGGACAAACAGCTGAAAAAAGTGGTCCAAGCTCAGGTCAAGAGGCGAGTGGACAGGAAAAGTCAGCTTCTGGGTTTAAAATCCCCAAATCTGTAAATGGTGACTTCACTCCAATGTCCTCCTCCGGGGTAGACGTCAGCAGTGGTTCTGGTGGTTCAGGAGAAGAGATTACTGCTGGTGCCAAGGACTGCAATTTACTAGCACAAAAGACTGTTGAATTCAAATCAGATGGTCAAGTGGAAGATGGAGAAACTGTCACTGAACTGACTGAGGCTGAGGAGCAGAGTAAACAGGAAGAGCACTCATCCCGGCCTTCAACAGCCTGCTCAAAATCAAAAGGTGAGGAAAAAGCCAATTCTGCTAGAGAGGAATCTCTAATTCAGGATCAGTGCAGTAACTGTGAGATTGATAAGGAGGAAGAGGAGGAAAATGAGAACACAAAAAATAGCAGATTAGTTGAAAATGGAGAGCAAGAAGCTGAAACTGTAAATGAAGCACTTCTAAAAGAAAATCTTGAAGAGGCAACTGAGCAGTTATCCACTACTATTGAGACAAATGTCAGTGATGCTGACTGTGGGACAGAACTGAAAGCTGATATTCAAGAGCAGCTTGAAAAAGGGTCTACAAAGGATCCAGAGCCCAAAGTTGATATGGCCACCAGTGTGGGCGCATCTCTTGTCCAGCAAAACTCAGTGGATCCAGATCCAGTCTGGGTCCTGAGGCTACTAAAGAAAATTGAGAAGGAATTCATGGCTCACTATGTTAACGCTATGAATGAGTTAAAAGTCAGGTGGAACCTGCAGAACAACCAGCAGATGGATGAAATGATCTTGGAATTGAAGGAGGAAGTGAGCAAAAGGATACAAAGAAGCATAGAGAAGGAGCTGAAGAAGATCAAAAGCAGAGCTGGAGCCAAGATGCCAAGACCTCCAGATGGACCTCTCAAGCGTGAGTCAACACTCCAAACTGAGCAGAGGAGACGGCGGCTGCAGACTATGCATAAAAAGTCATTCTTCAGTGACAAGACTGGAACCCACAGTAGGCTTGCGGACACATCAGATTTATCATTAGATGTAGATGAAGATACAGCGTTTAGCGCTGCTTTTGAGGCAAGTATTAGTGAGCAACCAAGTGAGGAGGAATACTGCCCTTGTGACACTTGTGTGAGGAAAAAAATGGCTTCCAAGCCCGTAAGAAACCCAGTGGTGGCTACCAATGCCCCAGTTGTGAAAGCATTTGATTTACAGCAGATCCTGAAGAGAAAGAAAGATGAAAATGAGGAAGCCTGTGTCTCAGAAGCAGCCCAGGACAGCAAAGCAATTCCCAGTAATGGGGAGGAAGCAGCAGAAAACACCAATCCAGATGAAGAGAATGATGAAAGTGACCTCCAGTCAGGCCAAAAAGAAGTGAAAGAAAATGAAGAAAAGAAGTCAGTATTAGATGAAATGGATGGTTCAGTGACGAAAGAAGATGCAGAAGGACCAATATTAGAGAGTCAAAACTGTGCAATTGAGGAGGAAGTTACAGACGAAGAAACCAAGGAAGAAGAAAAGGAAGAAACAAAAGTGGAGGAAGAAGAGGAAGAAAAAGTGGAAGACATAACATTGAGGGCAGAGAAAGAGGAGGAAACAAAAGAGGAGGTCAAAGGAGGAACAAACGAGAAAGACGATAAGGAAGTAAAAGAGGAAGAAACAAAGGAGGAAGAAGAAACAAAAGAGGAGGAGAAAGAGGAGGAAGAGGAAGGGAAGGAGGAAGAAGAAGAAACAAAAGAGGAGGAAGAGGAAGAGGAAGAAGCAATAAAAGAGGAGGAGGAGGAAGGGGAGGCAGAGGAAGAAGAAACAAAAGAGGAGGGGGAGGGAGGGAAGGAAGAAGAGGAGGAAGTGAATGAGGAGGGAGAAACAAAAGAGGAGGAGGAAGAAGGAAAGGAAGAGGAGGAGGAAGTGAAAGAGGAGGAAGGAACAAAAGAGGAGGAGGGGGAAGGAAAGGAAGAGGAGGAGGAAGTGAATGAGGAGGAAGAAACAAAAGAGGAGGAGGGAGAAGTGAATGAAGAGGAGGAGGAAGTGAAAGAGGAGGAAGAAACAAAAGAGGAGGGGGATGAAGTGAAGGAAGAGGAGGAAGAAGTGAATGAGGAGGAAGAAACAAAAGAGGAGGAGGGGGAAGTGAAGGAAGAGGAGGAGGAAGTGAATGAGGAGGAAGACACAAAAGAGGAGGGGGAAGGAAAGGAAGAGGAGGAGGAAGTGAATGAGGAGGAAGAAACAAAAGAGGAGGGGGAAGGAAAGGAAGAGGAAGAAACAAAAGAGGAGGAGGGGGAAGTGAAGGAAGAGGAAGAAACAAAAGAGGAGACAGAAGGGAGGGAAGAGGAGGAGGAAGAGAAAGCAAAAGAGGAAGAGGAGGAGGAAGAAACAAAGGATGAGGAAGAAGATATGGAGAAGGAGGAGGAAGAAGCAAAAGAGGAAGAAGTAAACAAGGAAGAGGAAGAAGGAAAGGAGGAAGAGGAAGATGTGAAGGAGGAAGAAGAAGAAACAAAAGAGGATGAGGAAATGCAAGATGAGGAAAAAGCAACAAAGGAGGATGAGGAAGCAAAAGAAGATGAGGAAGTAGCAGGAGAGGAGGAAGAAGAAGCAGAAGAAGGTGAGGAAGAAGTAAAAGATAAGGAGGGGGAGGAAGAGGAAGCAGCGGAAGAAAACACAGAAGAGGAAGGAGAAGAAGCAAAAGAGGAAAATGAAGGAGAAGAAGATGAGGAAGAAACAAAGAAAGAGGAGGAAGTAGCAAACGGGGAAGAAGAAGAAGAAAAAGAAGTGCAAAATGAAGAGCAGGAAGTTGAAGTAGAGTCCAAAGCTGAAGATGAAGTTGATAATGAAGCTGAAGAAACACAGGAGCCAGAGGGTGAAGATCTTGAAGCTGATGATGAGGAGGAGACATTCAAATGCAAAGATGTCGATGGCTCAGAGGCAGATGAGAATCCTGAAGGAGATGCTATAGAAGGAAGTGAGGAAGCTAAGCAGGATGAGGATGAGGCAGCAGAAGATGGAAATGCAGAGTTAGAAAATGAGGCATGTTCAAATGAAGAAGAAAACAACAGTGAAGGTGGTGAGAAATATGAAGAGAATAATGAGGAACTCACCAGTGATGACCCTGACCTGGCAAACAAAAACCACAAAGGCAACAGTAAGTCTTCTGAAAGAGCCTCCAAGGCCAAAGGCAAAAGAAACAGGAAAAGGCTAGAGACTCTGAGCAAAGCAGTTACCATTTTTTGTTCTTCTTCTCTGGGAAACTTCTCACAACAGTCCCAGAAGGGGTCTGATGATGAAAGTGAAGAGGAATGCCAAGATAATAACTCCATAAGTGAGCACCCCAGTGGAGAGGCTCAAAGTGATGAGAGCAGCAAACCTTCAAAGATGTATCCTGATAGCGAGGAAGAAGAAGAGGACAAAGCATCTTCATGCATTGATCCTTTGGGAGATGAGGAACAGCCAGATGCTGAAGGTGCAGATCAGAAGGGAGACAAACATGCTAATAAGGTTCAGGCTTCTAAAAATAAAGAAGGTTCTGATGAAATTGACCAGGATGACCTGGATTTCTAAAACTGCTTATCAAAAACTGGTTTTTTTTCTTTCTTTTTTTTTTTTTAAAGTAAGTTTTGATTACATATTGCAGTATCTCCAGTGAGTTGAGCCATCATAATTGGCTTTTCTTCTGAGTTAAATGTGGTAAACTTGATCTTGAATCCTGTGAGTAAAGTTGCAATTACTTGCCCTCATTTCTAGAGGGCTAGCACACTCTTAAAGATTTAGTGGTTTCATTAGAAAACTGGTTTGGGGAAGGGGAAGGCTGTTTTGTTTGTGATACCTTCTTGTTCCTTTTCTTTAAGCCATGCTGTTTGCTGCTTGAGTATCTGTGGCTCTGCTGGGCATCACGTCTGAGTAACTTCAGGATGCCTTTTGTCTGTTGCATGCCATTTTCCTGGAAAGGTTGCCAATCCACAGAAATGTGACAAAATCTGGAGTCATTGCCAAAGTCTGGTCAGAGCCCACAGAGATGTACACTCATTTTCTCCCCTCTCTTCCAATCTCCTTCTCTTCCCTCTCTGTATGAAGAGAACAGGTCTGAGACATCAAAGTCTTTTCCTATTTTCCTTGTTTTTCTTTAGTAGAAGTGAGATTGATCCTTACATCACCAGAAACCCAAAGGGGTCATCCCAGTCGATCTCTCCTCTTCCAGATCATTGATATGTTTGTACTGTGCTCATCACTGTGTATTTGGTGATGCACTAGTAGATAAAAAAGATGAATTCATTCATCTGTCAGGTATCTCAGAAATGGTGTCATGTCCCACCTTTGGTCCTTTACAAGTGGTTGAATGCAGTGTTGACCAAATTAGACATAGATAAACTCCACTTCCTTCTGATTATCTTTATTATGCCAATGATGGTATCTAAGCACTTTACAATCATCTGGGATCCCTCAAACAATTTTGTACGAGGCCCTGTTCCAAAGCTCAGTGCCTCACCCTTGTAGTCAACCGGTACTATTTAACAAATTATATCTTTGACATGAAAGAGTTCAGAGCATTTGTGCTGCAGCAAGCAACTGGAAGAGGCTCAAGCATTTACTGGATAAGTTGGAGTTTACGAAGCATGATAAAACTGTGAACTTAATTTAACAGCTATTTTCTATTGGATTATTTATGTACATTGTTCTTCCCCTAGGGCAATGTATGTATTTCTGAATAAATGCCCAATTAATGTGAGGAGATGTCTGACCATACCTCAGCTGCATACATGTGTACACCTCTTTGGGAAACAGTCTAAATTTATCAACAATTTACAAAGGAGAACAGAACAGCAAAAATCAAAGAGAGGGTAAAAGCAAAATGCCTTAAATTGTGTGATGAAGAAGTATGTGTGTAGCATTGTGTCAGGTGCGTGCAGACATGTTGAAATAATATTCAAAATGAAATAATAAATGCTGTTATCATTGCAAGAATCATTTCCTTAAACTCATACCCTATCAACTGATTCCACTGATAAGATTCATTTCACCTAAATTAAGAAGTAGGGTTCCGTTCCAGACATAGATAGTTAATGATCAGTGCCTGGGACTTAAGGGTCCATGTAAACAATCAACAGAGAGCTAGATCTCAGCTGAGCTACCCTCATGGAGGTTCACAGTGCCAGCTGAGATACTCCAGGGAGCCCAAGGCAGCTCCACTGTCCTCAAGATGCAGAAGAAAGATCTGGGCCTTTCTAAAGGCAAGCACAGTTCCATCTGTTCACCTTATGTTCATGGTTTGGGTCAAGTAGGTCGTTTCAAATGAAACTAGGTACAACTCCATAGGTACAACTTCACTGAACTCCAATTGTCTTAAGGTTTGTCTCACCTGACAGTCTGTTCTCTGTTTGCTGTGTAGACCTTGCCAGAGCTAAGATCTCTTGGAAGCTGGGATTCAGTTTCACTGTCTAAACATAGATGTTTAATGCCTGTTGAGAAGGCATAGGGAATCCAGTCTCATGTCCAGTGCTGTTGTGCAGGTGTGTGGAGACCCTTGTAGATATCAGGGGTGCTCCAGGGCGTCTTAAACTGTATTACTCATGGATGTAAAAGAACTCATCTGCTCCCAGAATTGTGTGAAACAAATCCTACCTCAAGGGATTGAAGTGAAAGTTTGAAGCTCAGTGTTAAAACCCCTGTTGGCTTTGAAGTACAAGAACATGGAACCTTTTTCTCCTCTGACTCAACGCATATTCTGACTCATGCATTATCTAGTCTCTTGGTATTGCACTGTGATAGAGGCTGACAGTCTGACCTGTCACACCTAAAATACTGAACACCATACCTGCTCCAAATGCCAGTTATGTAGCCTCTGTACCATCAAAGCTCCATATAGGATGCTATTTAAGACACTAGTAGGATGCTCCAGGGCAATTTTTTCCTTCTATAGCCTTGTCCCATGACATATCATGAATCTATAACATTTCTAAGATTTCTAAGATGTCCACAGATCAATATAAAAAGCAGGCTTTCAGGTATCTAGAGAGAGAAATACAGATAACACAGTTCTATCTGCTGACATACAATGAAGGAAAAGACACCAATACAAAGGGTAGGTGCTTTGCCCTGCTGGGTTCTCCAAGCAGTGCAAAGAAGCAGGATCTGCCAGCGTTAATGAGAGATCAGCATGGGACTGTCATATGGCTGGGAGAAGCTCTTCAACCACAGCATCCTAACACTGGCATTTAGAGCAAAGGTTTACATTCAAGCTGTGACTACCACTGCAATTTGGAAGTTGATCAGGTATCACCAATCTACTTGGTGCAAGCTCAGCCTGGGGACATCAGGTGAAAACTGAGGCACCTTTGGTCTCTGATGTCTACTAGGGAGCTAGGGAAGTTGTGTTTGCCACCTGAAGCAGCTCATTACTCAGTACTTGGTAGCCCCTGAAGGAGGTTTGCTGCTGCCCCATTTCTCTCCCCATTGACAGAGGTTGGCAGGTGCTGTGCCATGTGCAGAGGCATTCTGGTTTCATAAGCAGGAAAGTGAAACGTCTGCTTTCTGATGCATCAATTCTTGTGGGGTTTAGAAGAACACTAAACCAGATAGTCGTAGCTCTGGTCCTGGCACCAGACATACACAAGTTGCTCAGATGGAGATGTCTAGTGTGCTGGTCCCAACAAAACTGCACCAAAGCATCTTACAGTGCTCCAAGTGATGGCCTGCAGAGTCATCCCATGGAAGCGTGAAAAGTTCATTGGCTCCAAGTTCACTCTGTTAGCACTATTGCTAAAATCCACTGCTGCAACCGCATGGGTTAGCAAGAGGCTGAGCCTTTCCCATGGTTTCTTCTCCAGCCTGTTGACTTTGCTCATTCTAAAGCTGCTTGTGCACAGTCAACATCACGCCCTATCCGTGTTGAGTCAGCGGCTTCCCCACTCGTGGGCGTCTCGGACAGCACCAGTGGGAAGAAAGAAACCAAACCAAACACCTGGAAAGCAGATTGGTATCGGTCCAGGAGGCAGATGTTGCTGAAGAACGTATTTCTTTTCACTGCCAGTATGTCCCAGGTTTACCCATGAACAAGGCATGCAGCTGTAAAGGATCCCTCTCAATTACATCTCTCGCTGCTTCCAAAGTTGACGTTTCCCCTTGATGCTGTGACTCACTCTCATGTTCAGTCTTGCAGCTCTCTTCTGCCTCTTGCAGCACAGGAACACGTGCTGCCAGCCAGCTCCAGAGCTGTCACGTTTATACTGGCTGGAGAGATAAACCTATCAGCACCTGGAGGGGATTACAGCTGTTGGCTTTCAGCAGAAGGAGGAAGGCAGAGAGGCAACGCGAGACTTGCATGGCTGTGAGCAGAGCTGTACGGCTTGTTTTGCTGTGTATCTCTGTCTTTTGATTTTTTTTCTTCATTATTTTTATTTTACCCGCCAGACAAATTGCTTCTTGATGCACATTGATTTTGTTTGCTTGTTGTTTTGTTTTTGTTTGTTTGCTTTTCAAGACAAATCTTGAAAAAAAATGTTTGAAAAAAAATCTTTGAGAGTGGTGAGGTGCTGGAACAGCTGCCTAGAGAGGTTGTGGATGCCCCATCCCTGGAGGTGTTCAAGGCCAGGTTGGATGGGGCCCTGGACAACCTGTTCTAGTATTAGATGTGGAGGTAGGTGGCCCTGCATGCAGTAGGGGGTTTGAAACTTGATGGGTCTCTTCCAACCCAAACCATTCTATGATTCTATGATTAGTGGTAAGTCCATCAGACCCGTTAGTTCCTCAGTTCGGTGTGTCCTCTAAGAGGCTGGAGGAACTGTCTGTGGTTAGAATATGAGATTAAGACTACATTGGTTTAAATCTTTGCAGAGAGTGTTGCATATGACCACACACTGCATCCCTGAAAGCAGTCGGTTCCCACAATTTGCCCTCCTCAGAGCTAGATGCCTTGAGTACATGGGAGATAAACAGTTGAAGAACAGTATCTAAAAAGGTTAGCAACAAATAGGGGCTGTTTGGAGTTTGAGCAGTCTCTTCATCTCTTGTGTTGAAGCTCTCCCACTTTTGGTGAATATATAGTTCTAGAGATGCAGGACATTCTCAGTGAAGTAGGGTCCTCAAGTTCTTAACTACTAACAAATGAATTATTCAGTCTTTCATGTCATAGGAAAGTGCCAGACACCAAGATATCTACTGAGCTTTGTTTACCTAATGCAGTGTTTCTAGGAAGAAACAGGGCTGGTGATTCCCTAACTATTTGAGTCTCAATTATTTGGTTGCCTGTAGCTAGATCTGTACTCATCTGCTATAAACTAGGGAAAGAGAGGGGTTATTTAGGAAAGGATTACAGATACCCCAAGCCTTGCATCTGAGACAGAAGGGTTAATACTTTTTGTGATGATCCTCTAACATATATTCAGAATTGCTGGTGATGCCTATTTTCCCATGCCCCCAAGCCACAGACCCTGTCCCTGTGTCAGCCACTTCTAATTTTACCTCCCTGCCCTCTGAGTTGAGCACCAGGGCTTGTGAGCTCCAACAGGAAGCACCTCGGCTGACCTTTCTAATTTCAGGGGCTTGATGCTTGCTTATCCATGCAA